GGCTGTGGCCATAGGTGTTCCACAAAAGTTAAAACTGCCGATATTGAACGAATAATGTGTGCTACAGAGCACTTTCATCTCATTTCGTTTCTACGCCGGGTGTTGTGTGTGGGTATGCTGTGGTTCCTGGTGCTTTTCTAGGAGCTTGAAGCCTTCTTCAGTTCGTTGAAACACCTAATCCTCTGCCCTTTGCTTCCCTAACTCCTCGACAATAGTCGTGCGGTACAAACATTGACCGGTATACTAATTTAAGGTATACCCTCTGATAGGTTATTGCGATATTTTCGTCACCACAAAATTATACGATCTGCCGGCAGCCACAGACCTGTTATCAAGTCAAGACCACGCAGTGGCTCAATCGCAAAGGTTTCCGGGTTTTGCTAAAAGCAGGCGCGCTGCCCAGCGGCCCGCGGCCCACGGCCCGCGACGACCGGCGGCCCAGTGGCCCAGTCCTGATTTTCCACAGTTTCTTTGTGCAGCGGTAAATCAACCCGCATGCACAGATCTGTATCGGGTTTGAGCGTGCAAAATGGACGACGGTGAGTTTGAATTCGTTCACCATTTTAATAATCATTGCAATACTTTTCGATCCTTTCTTTCGTTGCATGTTGCTAAGGGAAAAACTTTGTCATTCTCTGTTTATTCGTCTGTTTACAGAACCCGATAAGGAGGAAATCCATTCTCAAACAATGTAAGTTATTTTCAAACCACAGTTTGAGATTGAAAATTTCATAAGCTAAATAATGAGATATGTGAACTGCTAATTGTCACTGAGTTGCGTTTGTCAGTTTATCAGACAATCACATTCTCACTTTGAAATCAGATGATCTTACGGTAATTCTGTGCAATGGCAGGCAACAGTTGTGAAAGGTTTCGTAAGGCGGTCGATATCGATTTATATTTATGATATTTTCACTTTCAAAGTATGGTTTGAAAATAACTTACATCGTTCGATAATGAAAGTTCTCTATTGTGCTATCGGTTTCTGCAAAGAGACGAATGAACAGAGAATGAAAACGTTATTATCTCAACAGAAGCAAGGATTCAAATGATTAAATGGTAAACGAATTCAAACTCATCGTGGTCCATTTTGCACGCCTTAACCCGATGCAGATCTGTGCATGCGCGCAGATTTACCGCTAGACAAAAAAACTGTGGAAAATCAGTACTGGGCCACCGGGCCTCCTGGCCGCCGGGTCGTCGCGGGCCGTAGACCGCGGGCCTCCTTTTAGCAGAACCCAAGGTTTCCAGCATACTAAGCTTTTTTCAAATAAATAATAGATTGATTTAGGCCAGCCTAAAAGCGTAGCTCCTGGGCCGGGTTGTTGAGGTTCCGATTAAGCTAACCCAGGAAAAGGTG